AACAAACGAAAAACAAAACACACATTTCGTACGTATTTAGTCTAGACAGTATGCAAAGAACTGTACAATATATTTGTAATATGCAATAAGTAAAATGTTCACAAGTGATTGGTATGCTTTGATATGATATGATATTTCATTAAATATTCAGCAGTGCGCTTTGGGTGCTTTGAACACCTACGTAGAAATTTTGATTTGTGAATTAATGAAGACTAAATTGAGAATTCATGAAATTGAAGTGTCCCTATATGTCTTTCGTACTTACATTTTCAAAATATATGCACTTATTCAATGGTTGCCACACAGAAGAAGATGTATCACTTTGGTTTTTTGCTGAATGCATAATGTGTTTTTTGTTTTCGCTGCATTTAAATAAATCGAATTCAATCACGTGTGGTACAAAAAACAATCATTAACAATAATGCAAAACCGCATTCGTCATCGGCTTATAAATCAAACGCTACAATACTTAGAAAAAAGTGTTATTAAGTGTTAAGCACTATTAAGTGTTGAGAATTGAGTACCATTCAAGCCGGTGCTAGGGGGCGTGAGGGATGTTGCACGTATTCATTATACCGCATGTACAGACTCAATCAAACCGAGTCTGCAATTCTCATGTAATTTTGTTGTGATTAATGCTTCCGAGGGATCACTTTGTTACTTCACAACAGCAGGTGTCAAGTGCTGTGTGGCAGCTGTAAAAAGTTGCCCCGTACTTCACTTCAGTGTTGTTTTATTTTTCCGGTCCTTCGGGATCATTGAGGCCAGCACTATTAAGTGTTGAGAATTAAGTACCACTCAAGCCAGTGCTAGGGGCGTGAGGGATGTTACACGTATTCATTATCCCTCATGTACAGACTCAATCAAACCGAGTCTGCAATTCTCATGTAATTTTGTTGTGATTAATGCTTCCGAGGGATCACTTTGTTTCCAGATTTTTTTGTCTATAAATTATACCAATATATATATAAAGCATTGCATTTGTCTTGATCAAATGTACTAGTACCGGGATGTACCGGTTTTATGTAAGTCATCTCACTTACTCCTTGTGACATTTGTCGATGAGGTTTTCCTCCACCAGTAAACTGGAACGTCGCCATATGACCTATACTGTGTCTGTGTGACGTAAAACCCAATAAAAAACAACAAAAAGCACGAAAACATCACATTTGTCCATATCAACAAGTATTTGACATGTACGTTATATTTTTCTCTTTATATAAAGTAGAAAGAAACAGAATCCCATAAGAACGCTCATAATGGCAAAGTTTAAAATATTACAGGATTGTTTTGTTTGAGCAAGTGTAATTCGCATGTTATTGTTCACGCCCCCAAGCACCGACTAAAGCAGAATTCAACATTTTAACATGAGATGGCAAAATTTTGAATAGAAATGCTAATACGACGGAAATCATGGAACCTTCAATGTGACACGCTTGTGTCATTCCATGAAAAGTGACATATGGTTCCCAAGTAAAACGATGCGTGTGCTCTGAGGCGGAACTAAATAAAATAAATTTTTGAAAGGTCAGCTTGACCAAATATAGCTCACGTAAACACAGGTAAAATCTAATTTGTATTCAGTACATTCAACTATTTATTCCATATCAACGCCTGCTTTAATTTCCTCAACATTAAAACATTCCAAGTTTGTAAGCTGTCTCGAAAGCTGGGAGAAAAGTGTTGTATTTCTGTACCTGTTTATAATTTGGACTTTTAAGACATTGGATGACTGTCTGGAATTTGTCGTAACTAGAAATCGACAACACTCTATCTATCGGAGATACTGTAACAGTATTGTTCTTCTTTTTATGAAGTGATCGACTGTACAGTGTTGAAAATAATATGGGAAGCAATAATAGGTTACATTATAAAAGTGGACAGTGCCTGTTTTGAAAGAATGCAAGCCTTATTGGTTACTTATTGCATGTAAATGATTGAAATTACATGAGATCTGGCTCATTCTTTATGTCTGGTTATAACAATCTTAGTCTTAAACGGGTACCCAAGAAATTAAAGTTTAAAGAATATAAAATAAGCCCATTTAACAACTACAATTAACCAAAGGTTTATGAAAAGTAACGCATCAATTGATTTGTTGTACTTAATTATCACCGTATCTGAAATTATATGGAATGCTATGAAAGAGAAATATCAAAGCCCAAATCATATCAAATGCTCTGCCTTTCTAAAAATCCACCCATCCTCTAGTTAGTTAATTCATTTTGAATATACACTGATGGAAATATGGCGCTGTTAATTATTTCTTCCATTACATTTCAGTCAAGCCCATCAATAAGAATAGCTGCAGCAAATGGACCACATTAGGCAGTTCAAGTATAGGTGAAATAAGATGTAAGATATAAGTGAGAATATGTGGGGCAATTCAAACGACATTTTAATTGCCTATCTTATAAAGGTCAAAATAAATGAAAACTATGTTTAGACATTGAAATGCAAATTTCTCGTATCATTTCCATTTGTAATTTATTTTTCAGACGAGATTTTGACATTGATTTGATATCATAGTTCATTTTATTCTACGGAAAAGTAATCAAAATGTTTCATTGTTATTAATTCCCAACTACAAATGTAAATTGTAGATTTTAACCTTCATGTATTTCAATTGTAATATTATTTAATACATGTAAATACATGAATGCTAGATATGAAAATGATTTATATGTCAGCTTAGCCAAATTTAAATATTTAATGTATGCACCACATGCATGTCATATATGATAATTTTAAAGTCCAAACTGCATGATTTAGTGACTTGTTTATACAAAATGCACATCTGTTGGTAATGTTGCTTTATTTGTGGTATTTTGGATTTTATTTAATGTATGTTATAAGAGTGTGAGGATAAAACATTTACCCTTACCCCCCTGATTCTTTAGAATTGGTTTGTCCTGTTTTGAAATTTGGAACAGTCCATATAAAGTAGTATCTTGATCTACAATCATTGATTACCAATGGGGTTTTCATAGATCTTAATCCAGTCATATCCATAGGTGTTCGGCGCATTGATTGGTCAATACCCCCGCACCCCCCCCCTCACCCCCACACCCACTCTACAGCCCTCCTACCTCTCAAAACCATGTAAAATACAGTAGTTTTCATTTGAAACATATTTAATATTTGGTTTATGCTTTTAATTCAATAACCTTCATTTCCTACAAAAAATTGATACATATATACTAAATATATATGTATCATTTTTTTACTGTATTTTACATGGTTTTGAGAGGTAGGAGGGCTGTAGAGTGGGTGTGGGGGTGAGGGGGGGTGCGGGGTTAGTGACCAATCAACGCGCCGAACACCTATGGTCATATCCATTCGAGTCAAAACTAGTTTTAGAGTAAGACAATTTTATGATAATCACATTTCATTGTTTACGGAGCGTATTGAAGCTGATCAGTGTATGATTTATGATAATAAAATATTGTTAATTGTGTGACCGTATGCACATAATGATCATCATGTAAGATATTTTTTTTTAATTTTTAAAATAATTTAATTTCCTCATCGCTTCAATTTATATTGTTTACCATGATAAGGATATGTCATAACAGGGCATTTTTGTGGGAAATAAACAATAATGAAACAAAAATAAAATTCCCTTTTCTTAATTACTCCTAGCAGTGTCTTTCTTTTTGAAAGACCTTGCTCCTAGTCATTACGAAAATAAAAAAAATTATTTCAAGAAAGCAAATAAAATTACAAAGTGATTTATTCGTATCATAGTTATTAAAATGTGTCCGAGTTAAATCCGCACAGTGCGGTAACTGGAGTGAAGATATTAGTTTCCTGCATCCGAGTTACTGCATTGTCTGTTAGGGATAAAACTAGAGCACACTCGATGATTGGCTTTATTTTTTCTTTAGTTTACTTATTGTGACGACAGGGAAAAGGATAACGATAGAAAAGTCATATTCAGCTGTTTGTACATTGGTTACTTTTTGGTGGCATGCTGGTCATATTGTGACCACAAGGAACGTGTTTTTATTATTTGCCCTCGTTACAAAAGAGAAAATTTTTTAAAACAATCGGCAATCTGATTCAAATTGAATAGCCTCGTGTTACGATGCTTTTTCTATTCTTTGTTCGTAAACTTTCTTTTTTTTAAATCTTGTTATATAAATGTACATTAAAGCGGTATTATCATTTAACACGATGCGACTGTAGAGGGATTAATCAACGTTGACGTCATTTCTGCGAATTCACTAAATGAACCGGTTGAAACAGGTCTCGCAGCAGACACACGAGTTAAAGGTTTTGACAATATTATGTTTCAGAATAGACACATGTTAATATATTCTTATAGTTAAAAGTGTACCATCAATCATTTAACAATTACTACGTCTAACAGTCTATAAAAGTTTTTACAACGGTGGCTTACAGAGTGACGGTTTTATATGAACTTTTACAGTTACGTTTTACGTTATTGTTTTTATGTATGTCAACCACCTACTTCTGACAAAATGAGCAAATAAAAATACTCTGTGTTAACAGTTATGACGTAATACAACGCATTTATTACTCAAAATATATGTATCAGTCTTGGTGTGAATTTATATGTATGGAGTACGTGCTTTGCATATAACAGAAAAACAAGAAATTTAAAATGTTTTAAAAGAACAGATTGCACAAAGCTACAATATTGAAGATATGTATATAAATGAAAGAGAGCTAACAGCGGGAAATGATACACAGAACAATCACACGAAAGATCGTGACTCGAACCACGGGTCTCTGGACAGCCGGTCCAGTATGCTGACCACTAAACTTTATAAAAAGGCAAGACGGTTTAAGATAATCATTATTATGCATCTAAGAACAGAAACAAGCATAAAAACCCATAGTTTGATCTCTATAATACAATTTCATAACATATATTCATAATATATTTAGCAAAATATTGCAAATTTGAATGCTAACAGCAAAACAATTGTTTCTTAAAGGAAATTATTCAAAAATAGATGTAAAATTCAACTTACGGTTTGTCGAAGCATACAACAATATCAGGGTCACATGGGTCTGAACACGGAAAATCACAGCAATCGCCGTCTGATTCTCTTCCCGACGGATTTTCAAACTTGATCAGACGTAATTCAAAGTAGGTGGCGCTTAATACAACCTGCAACAGACGACAAATTTTTGCATAGACATTACCTTGCCGAATTCATGAAATGGACATGACCTGATTTCTGTTTGAAATTACCTATTTGAAGTTTTAGGGATTGCGATACGGAATTTGTTATTTTAGTTGCTGACACTCGGGTAATATAAAGTGTCTTGATGTGAAATATATTAAACATATATGTGTTGAAGTGGCAACCCTTATAACACGAATTATCGCTTAAATTTCAATCAGCATATACCATACAGAAGTTAAAGACCTCATTGTCATCATTAAGGTCAAAATAACTTAAATTAAGTAGCAAAAAATATAGACATGTCTCGTCATCAACTAAGAAGGTAAACATTGTTGGTTAAACTAATGACTGCTTGGTACAATCAGTGACACACACACACTGCATTGAAACATACTGAAAAAATATGTCACAATCTTTTATAGATTCACAAAGTACACGCCATTTCGATAAAGGCAGTGAAAAAACTAGATTTGTGCGCGCTAAACAATAGCCGATAACATTACAAACATTGTATTCTAAAAAAAGAAATCATCATGATGTTTGTCAAAGTTTGAAATGACATACTTGCAACAAAAATAAATCTTACATTTTACACGTAAATGCTGCTAATGTATAAACTACAAGCAAGCACGTTCTTTGCGTCTTGAGACGCTGTTTAAATGCCATTTTTAAAAGGTTAAAAAAATGTTATTAAAATGCAACTATACATGTCTTTGAGCTTAATACAAAGTAGAAGTTCAAAGTAGCAGAAAAACTCATCAGTTGCCGCAACAAATTTCACAATGACTTAAGTATTGTTCTGTTTCCATGCAGTTTTGAACAGGTATTGTATTATGGCAAGAATTTAAGACCGTCGGGGCAATGTTGTCCTCTCTTCAAAAGAATGCATGCCCCGATGGAACGTTAATTTATGATTAAAGCTGGCGACATTTGACAATACATGTTCAGCATATTATCGCAGCAAATGACTAATAAGGTTTAACATTAAAAAATAAAAATGTCACCATCAATATTCTATTCACACTGATTATACACAAAGAGGCATAATTGATTCAATGGCGATAATGTGTTCATTAAAAACATAAATCTATCAATGTTGTCTTTTATTCACAAAGCTTGTGATGTGAATGAACTATAATGTGTATGTTTTAATGACCTAATATTGTCAAAAATGCAAACAAATGGACCGGTAACATTATTTCATGTTTCAAAATGATTTGAATATATACACCAGTACTACCTTTGGACGAAAAAAAGAAGTATGAAAAAGGGGAGTTCCCGTGATGGAAATTAAAAGGAAGAGCAACAGCAGCAAAAAAAACCCAACAAAAACAAAAATCTGTTTGATTGGCTCTGTACATTCGTTTGAGCGGATAGTGCATGTTTCAGGCGAATTTGGAAACATAATCTATGTCTTTTGTCAATGAAGAGAGTTTTGGGAACAAAAAAAACGAAAGCACCAAAGAACGCTTGACGATGTGAAAGGATGCTTTGACAGCGATCTCCAAAAAAAAGAAACAAAAAAAACACAGCTTATGTTAAATTGAAAAAAACATCGAAATTTGGGCACTGACTTCATACAACACTAAATATTATTATGACCTTCCATGGACAAACATACTGTACTCTTTGCTGTAATACTGAAAGGGGCAATGTAAAAATCGTCTGATTTGAGTGACAAATTACCGGGAGAAAATGACAGATTTTATAGATATTTAGCTAATTTGTATTACATTTATTGCCAGTCATCAAGTCAAATTGGGTCAACTATTAATACAATGAAGACTGACAGAGACGAAAAAGAGTAAATCCATTTTTACATTTTTGTAGTGTACCAAAATTCTGATGAGATACAATTCAACTAAAGACACATTTATATTAAAAAAAATATTTACAGTTACGTGGCGTACAAAATTTAAAAAAGAAACCAGTCAATTAAAAAGAAAAGAGACACTTAAATGGCATTGTTCTATCATTGTTTTAAAGTTTGAATAACATATATTTGTAATGATCACTGCGATACCATAAATATAACTTTTTATCATGTTCCGTTTCATGACTTTGTATGCAATTGCCTTGCAAAACAATAATGTTAAAGATGTTGTGTTTAGGGGCAGTTTTCGAAAACCTTCTAAATTCCAAGGGTCTAATTATGAGCTGGATAAAATTGACTGCACTTGTTTTAACTATGCCGCATTTATAAGCATCTAAAAGCTGACTGGACTAATGGTAACATTGAACATTATAGTCATTCTGAGGTAGTTGACAATACATAAATAATGCAATAAATTGTCATTTTTCGATTCGATACAATAACAAACGATATTTGTTCGAAAATGTCATATTGTATTATAAAATTTCAATTATCTATATTTATAAGATATTTATTACCATTGCTTATTAAATTGCCGTTTTAAGGAGGACAATTAACAAAAGAAATATTATTTAATGAACAGGGAATCATTGCACACAACAGTGACAAATAAAGGACATCTAGTCTAAATTATTGGAATACTTCATAAATAATTGATAAATACATCATAGAATCTTCATACAAATTATTAATATCAAAACATTAATTAAGAAGCATTTCCTGACAATTTATACTAAATATTGCTGATTGTTATTTGAAGTTATATTAAAGCATTGAAAATTTTCATGAAAATTTTGAAAATGTATTTAAAAGTAAAATATTGTGTAGTGAAGAAAGTTAATTTTCAAACTGCAAAAGGCACTTAAAATAAACTTAAATTACCAAAAAAGGTCTAAATATGCGTAAATAGTCCTAACTGCGTAAGCCGCGCTGTAGAAATATGGTGATAAAATACTAAAAATCAGTCATAACATGTATATTTTTTATATGACTCTTAAATCATTTTATTATTCTTAAAATCGTTTTACATTTTTCTCAAGTTTGATTTTCTTGAAATATTTTGGCACAACTGGAGGTATGTAGCTTTAAAACCATATTTCCAACGGCCCAATGAAAGGTATACATGTATTGTCACGCCATTGCTTTCTCATAATTTGTAGCAGTGACTATTTGCTAATAAAGACGACAATGTTGGTATGTCACTAAGTGCTGGCATAATTTATAGGTTGCAATGATATGTGTGACCTCGTATTTAGTGACACATTTAATATAGTATTAAAGTACTTATAATGACCCCAATTTATACACATAAGTGCGTACATGAAATCGACATAAGCACATATATCATTTACTGTAAATATCTAAGACTATCCATTCAGAATTTACACGCATATGTAAACAGAACGTAATGGGGAAAAGAAAGTGAATATACTATGGAAATAAATTTTGAAAATTGTACATGCGGAGATCCAGTTATACTAAGAATGCATACATGTTTATGTAGTCCATTTAATCTGTCTTTATCACTTTGAAAGTGTCAAATATGTCAATTCTTGCAATTTTAATTAATCTGTACCAATATCACTGTTTTTTATTGTTTATTACATAAATGCAGTTGCCCCTAATGGCTTTAGGTTCTTTGGACTTTAGATTCTGTTATGTGAGGAAGCTAACCAGCTGGCTTACTGAACGTCGGTGTTTCAACTCAGGTGCCCGTTCCTGTCTGAAATAATGCACGAAAGGGCACCTGCAGTAAAGCTGGAAAGTCGACATATAACCTGTACAGTGTTTTTGCAACTTAAATCCCAGTGCAGCTACATTTTTATGTATATTTTTAGTAAACAATATAATGTAACTATTCGATAAAACATCTCTTTTATATTTCATTTTGTGAAGAAGTATACGTGTATTGTGAGCCATTTAAACAATGTACCAAGAACGTGAGATAAAACAGAAATCAACAAAGCGAAGGAAATAATGATTGTTTTTGTTGTAATACGTTTTGTAAATCCGCCTCCATTCCCATCATTTTTTCAACTGGGGGAGGCATGACCTTGACATTTACTTTTTGTTAAGTGAACTCATTTATAAGAAGCAGAAAAAATTATTTAACACTTAACTTTGTCGTGACAAGTAAGCATATATGATAAACGGAATATAAAGGGGGCTTACATTTAAACCACAACAACATATGCTGTTTATTTACTGATTGAACTATCACTAGTCGGTTATCAACACGTAGATTTTCCTTTCTTTGTTGATGATTTCCTCTTATTTATGTAATTTACAATGAAATTGCGGATGAAATGAGGTTGTTTTAAGGTTAAACCATGCTCATTTATATTTGTCACGTTACAATGGATACGATTTGTTTTATTGCAGACCAAATTTGGCTGACTAACGCTTACTAACGCTCACGCGCTAGTGATATAAGCCGCCTATAACATTATAAACTCACGGAAGTTAATTCGAACTAAACAATCTATTATTTTTTAAAAGAGGCAAGTCCTGTTTCACAAATCATACTTGGTTTTAGTGGTTAGAATATGACATAATGAAGATATGTTATTATACAAAGTGTTCCCACAATTACTTGTTCTACATGATTACCATTCATCATGTCACATGATGTTTGTTTTTTTAAATGTATACTTTGACATGATTCATGACAATTTTGTTACGTAATGGCTTTTCCGGTATGATATATGTGAATAATACTTAAAGACATTCAATGAGGTCCAAATATCTCAAAAACAAAAATAAGGAAATTTTTACACTGACCAACTTGTAATATAAAAATCATAAAATTGCAAAGAAATTATTAAAAAAAAGATAGATTTAACTTGTAAATTGATGCGTTTGTGTGTATATAAGACAATTTGAGTGAAAGCGTAAAAACGCTTTTCCCTTTTCGGTCATTTTGCGCATGAAAACAAGTGAGCAAAATGATTGAAATTTTGCACGCACGTTATTGGTCAAAACTTAAATCAGTTAGTGCTCAAATTTTGAAAAAATAATTTTTAGTCTCTTCATGTCAGAAAGTCTCAGTGGGGTTCCTTTAAACAACATGATGTTGAACACTGCACTGTCTATATTCATTAGATAATA